CATAATTATGCAAATCCATACTTTCTATTTTGATACCTATACTCTTTATGAATCGTATGAAATCATCTTACTTTTCTTATAGCATGGCTCACAGCACATTTTTAAACTGTTAACAAAAACAACTTTAAACTGCAACGATATCATCATCATCAGCTGATTTGAAATACGATGGATGAAGGAATTTTGCATTTTTCAACTGATACTAATAAATGATGCCAAAATAGCCACTGAAATAATAAAAGCAGAAGCGTTGAAGACTTGCATAATTTGTTCCTGACATCAAAACACGTGCATATACAAACGAAATGGATCTTTCATCAGCAATGAATCCCAAAAAATTGTCAAGTGACATCAATAAAAAGTTCTGTGATGCTGAAGAAGAGCAACAAGTCGTAGCAACGACAATGGATAATTTCAGCAAAGGTGTAGCGACAAAATCTCAATCGAAAAGTGGCCAGAATCTGCCATGCGATTCTGAAAAAACACAATTTGCGCTTGACAGTCTGCAAATTAGCAATGAGCGGTATTTATTTCTGCAAATAAACATTATGATCTTAATCATTATCATTTAGCATTGTTGATAATATCGATTCCATCTGTTTGATAACTGAATATTAATGGATCTGAACATACTGCGCATTAATTTGCATAATTATTTCGTTAATTGCGACGATCTGTCTCGCGCTAGGCCGGACTACAATTCTATTTTTCTGCCATTGCTTAGGCTTACCACTACATCAAAAGAAAAATATTTGAAATGGACAATTATTACTTAATTTAAAATTAAGAAAGAATTAGAAACGACATGAGGGAGCAAATAAATTATTGAAAGCTTTTCGATGGGGCAGTGATTATGACTTTCATTCTATCATCATTAATTTGCTTTCTACATCGATCATAACTTAAAACATTTTTATATATATATATAGCTCCACTTCGAAATCTGAAAAATATAACTTAGCAAATAGGAGGATGTCAATCATATCGCTGCTAATGTAGTCGATGGCATCATAATGTAACTTCATTAAAAAAATTAGTTGGAATTCAAAACATTCAAATGTTAAAATTTTAAAAACGCTAAGTTTTACATTTACATTCATTGATGATAGATATAAGAAAAAAAATTTTTAATTGGGGAGGAAAATTTATTTTTCATTTTTTTTTGCATTCCTTCCACATTTATGATTCGCACAAAAAATTTCACTCCAGAAAGGTTTTCATAATTTTTTTTCGTGTAATTCTTGTCAAAATAGCAACATATGGAAAGGGTAAAGGGAACAAATAGTAGCAAAGTACTGCTTGTAACAAGTATCGGGAAAGCTAGTCTGTTGAATTCGGCCTCACCGATATAAATTTTATTCGGGATATAATATTATTCTTCACTTATTAGTTAACAACTATTATTAGTTAACAACAAAAAGGGAAGGTTTAAAATATATATGTACGTATTACACGATGAATTGGTAAGCAGTGATAAATGAGTTATACAAAAAGCAAGCAATATGATCAACTAACAAATTCCTTGTCGTTGTCTTCGATAATAATTTACTGTCGGTTAGTTAACAGATCGTTGAGTTGGGGATTGTTACGGGAAATGTATTTAGCGAATAGAAAGAATATCGTAGTTTGCTGTCCAGTCGTGGAGAAAAAGCGGCGAGGATGTATCGTTGTAAAAACTGGTTTGGGATTTTCCTAATATATAGGTATTAGGTAGGAATTTTGTAAGCTCCATCGGGGTTATCATGGAAGTATGGCAGCCCTTTGGCATTGTCTATTGTGTAGGTACTGAGACGTCTTTGTGTTATGCAGTCCATTGTTAGCTTATATCCTCTTAACTGCTTTAATTTTACAAGATTTCGTCATCCGGTCTGTTGGATATTGTGGGAATTTTATTTGAACATAGCTTTAATTTCGGTAATCCGACAACAAGTTCATAACAAATATACCGGTTATTTCTTGTTTAGTCCTCTTTGTTTCCGGACTATTTTACACATCCTTTTCCATATTGGTGTGCCCAACGGCCGTACACTGTCATTAACAGAACAGAATATTTTTCATTTCAACTTTTATTGTAAAACATATATTGTTGTCTTTCCGATTATTTCCACAAATCGACAAGAAAAGCCACCGGAATCGAATATCTACAATTTTAAATCAATTTTCGGATATTCAACTACTGGAATATTTTGCCGACAGAAGATGAGTTGAAAAAGTTTTGCATACTGTAAGAGCTTCAAAAGAATAATGTGTATAATTTGAAATCATGAAGTTTCAGGTCAGCTATAGCAGCACCGTTTATGCCAATTTCTGGACAAATACCAATTGAATTCGGTAAATTAACTATTCCGCACATTACCCGCGCTTCATCCAAATCTTGCGGAGTTATGGAAGTATCGATGTGGAGATACAAGACG